GGGGTGAGAACATGCAATAAATGATGATGTAAGTTAATTTAGCAGCGCTGAATGAGAAAAGAGATGAGGTTTTTGTCATTTTATAAAAAAAATTCTGATTAAAAGCAAAACAGAAACCAAATCTTAAGAGATGATCTCCGCCTGGATGTTCTGCCTCATTTCACGTCAGCAGCACCAATAGGTTTATTTATTTATTTATTTGTCCCCTCCTCCTCCTCCTCCTCCTCGGTAGTAAAGCTCCGCCATGTAGGCGCGCAGAGCACATCTCCAGTGCGCAGAGAGCGTCTCCTGTCCGGACTCCACACGGTTCTCCTCCTGTTCTCCTCCTGTTCTCCTCCTGTCTCTTCATCCTCCGAAGGCTCTCATCTTGTTCCGCAGCTCCGGTTCTGTTCGGGTTGTTCGAGGAGCCGCAGAACAGAACCGAGGGTGACAATGGGCTGTTTGACAGCAGCGTGACGCGTTTGAGGCTTTATTTTTATTTTATTTTAATTATTTTTTTCTRGATTTCTGCGGAATGGATTCGTCTCCAGTCGACTCCAGAGGCTGACTGGGCACACTGGYCACACTGGGCACTTTGTGTGGGAGTGATGGTCGACCTGCGGCTCTGTGCTCACCTCTCTCCTCCCATCAGCCGCAGCTCTAATTGGAGCATCTTTAATTGGACATCCTGACTCACGCCGCCGCCGCCGCTGGATGCTTTTGTTCTGGTTCTGCTCACCTGCGTTTGTTGAAACCAGCTCCTCCCTTTATTTCTTTATATTTTAATCATTTTTCTTGGAGATTGGAAGGATGCCGGTGAACGCGCTGCCCAGCGGCCCGGGCTCCCTGAGCCCCGCGTCGCTGTCCCGCAGCCTGTCCCGACTGAGGGAGTACCGCACACGGACCAGGATCATGCTGGCCCTGGGGGTCTCTCAYATGGTCCTGGGGAGTCTGATCCTGGCGGTCAGCTTCGCGGCTCTGGCTCTCACCACTTCCCCCAGAGTCCGGCACTCCTGTCCGTTCTGGGCAGGTTTCTCTGTGAGTAAATGATTATTTTACTGACTGCAGCAAACCTGCTTCAAGTTTTTTTTCCTCTCCTATAAGGGGAGAAATATGGCTACAAGATCTAAGAATATATATTTTTTTAATTTAAAGAAAATGTTACATTTTAGGACTTCAGTTAGAACAGGACTAGTGTCACATTTAAATAAAGTTTTTAATTGCATTTAGGAATCTGCCCTAATTTGTCCCACTTTCAGTGCTGGCTCTAGCCATTTTGGTGCCCTAGGCGAGTTGAAGC